GCATCCTGACAATCTAACCTTTATCACAGTGCTTTTCAGTTACTGCAACTGTCTCCATTACTGGACTGTAGGCAACGGGAGGGGCCCCGGGGGCTCAGCATAAAGTGGGGCTCATTAAATATTTGGGGACTGACTGAATATCCCCCTGAAGCCCTGTATTGTGATTATCTGCCCAAGCGGACATCTTGAGGGCTGAGGGATATATCATGTATCTCCATGTTCAGCACAGTGCGTGGCCCATGAGCTGTGCGGTCCATTGAAGAGCAAGATGGTGACTGTTGTAGTGAGAAGTTCCTGAGCTGGGCAGCAGACAGTGAACAACAGTGCTTACGGTTAAGTATGTAGAATGTACTCTGAAGCGGCCTCTCTATTCTAACGCCAAATGAACAGGAAAAGTAGAAACGAACTGATGAGAGCCCAGGTCTCCTAAAGGAGCTAGTTAATTGAATGAAATTGATTGCAGATTCATTTCCCCCTCTAGTTATTGTTAAAACATTGTTATCTCTGATATATCAAAAGAGTAAAAAAGTCTTTGGTTTTCCCACTGATTAGCCTTTGACAATTCAACTCCCTTTATTTGTCTGTAGTAGCAATTCTTAACTGAAGGTTGTAAAATTCCTACAGTCCTGTAATTACTGGACTGTCTAGCCCAGTAATTCCTGCCTGGATGCATCGGAATTGGAATTCTGATTTAATAAATCTGGTTTTGTGTAAGTCACATCTGAGGCTTAAATCCTCATAATCTGTTCCTCTTGAATACCTCCAGGGATTGGGAGCTCACTGGCTACAATGTATCACATTCCAATTCTGGACAGACATTAGGATAGTCTCCCTTATATTGAGCTGAAATCTATCCTCCTGAAACTCTCCACTTGGTGCTAGTTTTCCCCTATAGAGTATAACTGTCTTTGCCTTTTTCCATAGGCCAATCCTTCAGCTCTGTAAAGGCCATCCTGTCTGCCCCTCCTCCCACCTTGCTAGGGCTTCCCCCTAGATAAACCTCTCCTGTTTTCACAACTATACCTCACAGGAAATGATCTCCAGGCCTCGTGAGTTTTGTTTGTAATTTCATTAAAGTGCAGAGCACCAAATGGGACAGTTTACCACAGCATGGACTAACCCATCTGGGGGAGGGAGGGTCTGTCCTTTCATCTTGCCATTATTTCTTTTGATCTGGCCTGTGATCGCTTCTAATTCACAGCCAGTTTACAGTTGGTTTAGGGTGAGATTATGATTAACCAAACCCCACAGGTCTTTCCCCATGAAAATCAATCCTTATCTGCTATAAATATAAGTAGTTGGCTTTTATAATCAACACCTGGCATTTGTCCTTCTTGTTAGATTTTATCTTTTGTTCCAAACCAATTCTTTGTAAACAGGAAGCAGTAGGCCCAGAAGAGGGAGCTCTCACAGCCCCTTCCCTGAGGAATTCGGGCAGGTTAGTTATCCAGTGGTTTCTCAGGTTAGGGAGCAGCTCCATGTGGTTTCTTGGTCATTAGAAAACACAGGAGACTGTTTGCCTTTCTAATCAAATCATAACTGCTTCCATTCGCTCCTGAGCATACTCTGCCCCCGACATCGTGCTGAACATGTTGCCTACATTATCTCATTTAGTCTCCGCAGCAGCGCAGAGCGTACCCCGCTATGAAAGCTGAGCTAGTGATTCTGGTGGTCTGGATACATCAGATTCACCTGAGAGTGCTTTTAAATAAAAGAAAATCTCAGGCATTAGCCCCAGAGATTCTGATTTAGTAGGAATGAAGCGGGGCCAGGAAACTTGTCTTTTTCAAAAGTTTTCCCAGTGACCCAATGCACAGCTGTGTTTGGGAGTGACTGTTACAGTTAGTGGCTTATACCTCGCTTGGCTCCTGAACAAGAGAGCCTGGGTCTGATTCAACTTCCTCCCTCTAGAGCATGCTGCAGCAGGAGCCCTCAAGGATGATGTTCCAAATGAATGTTCAGATGCACGACAGGTGCCAGGAGAGTGAAGATGTCCAGTATTGTGAGTCCTGTAGCTTTCTGAAGGCCGGACATAAAGCAGCCTCCTCTGGAGCTCTGATGGACTAACCAGGGAAAGGGCTCAGCCCAGGGGGACCTGGCTGACAGAGGAATGGGGACAGCGTTGTGAAATGATCACTCAGGCTGCCAAGGCAGGCAAAGACCCTGCAGGGTGCCTCTGCCCTTTCTGGGAAACAACAGAAATGACTATTGTACAAGAGAACTGCAGCCTAACCTTACCCAACTTTCATCTCATTGTAATTCACTAAAAGCCACGTTCTTATACACAGGCCTAGTTACGAAAAATGCTATTGGATAAAGATGGTATCTTTTAAACAGCTGTTCAGGGATGATGTAAGAAAAGCATACTGAAGACATGGAATGTCCAAACAAGAGATGGTAGGGGACTTAACAACTCAACCAGTCTCATCTCCCACTGTCCCCACTTCTAGTAGCTGTAACTTCTACTACGTGGACAAGAGACTGCTGTCCTGGAGTGCGGGGCCGGGAACTAACTTTCCGGGTGATGAGGGGCAGGGCTCAGACATGCCACCACCATTCTGACTAATCTCACTGAGTAACACAATGTCAGTGCTAAAGCGCCCTCATTTTTCACATGGAGAAAATGAAGTCCTGAGAGGGGAAGTACTTGCCCAGGAGTTTACAGTGAGTCACACACTGAGCCCAGGGCTCTTCTACCCCAACATGCTGCTGAACCAAAGCAATCAAGATAACTAACGTTGGAATAGACTTGTGTATGCGCAGTGAAGTAGGGTTCCAATTTTATTTTATTGCACAAAGTTAAACAGTTGCCCCAGCACCATTTATTGATGAGTTGATAATTTCCCCACCAATCTGCACCACTACCTGTCATTAACCAGTTTCATACATCATGGGTCTGTTCATCTACTGTTCCAGTGGTCTATTTGTGTATCACAGTGGCAATATCATGGTGGCTTAATTGCCACTGCTTTATAAATACATTGGGGTATCTGGTAGAGGAAGTCTCCCACCTGTGTCGTACCATATAGGTTTCAGAATCAACTTCAGTTCTGTTAAACAAAGTTGAAATTTTCAACAAGAATTTTATAAATATATTTGTTGAAAATGATCTTTACAATATCAAGTCTTCCCATCCATCAGTATAGTATATGTCTCCATTAATTTAGGCTTTCCTCAATACCTTTCAGCAAAGTTGAATAATTTCTCCACTAAGGACATGAACGTCTTTGATAGACTTAATTCTTAGTTACTTTTGGGGGTTTCATTGCTATTATAAATGGTCCTTTTTCTTGAATTGTATTTTGCATATTGCCAGTGTACTGAAATGCATTTGGTGTCTGTATATTGATCTTCAATCCAGTACTAATTAATGCTTTTGGATTTTCTAAGTGGAAAGGCATCATCTGTGAAAAGTGAGTTTCTTCCTTTGCAATCCATTCACCTTACTTTCGTCTGATCACACTGGGTGGGTCCTCCAGCACAGTGATGAACAGCACTATCGAGGGTGTCCTCATCTCACTCTGATCTTGAATGGAATACTTCAAACATTTCATTCACTCTAGGTTTTCTGTTGATGTCCTTTGCAAGGTTAGGGTGGTTTCTTTCTATTCCTAGTTTGCTAAGAGTTTCAATGGTTTGTTGTTTTTGTTGAAATGGGTGTTGAATACTGAATACTTTTTCTGCATCTATTGACATAACCCATTTTATTTCTCCTTTAATCTGTTAATGATTATTTGGGTTCCCCTACCTCCTGAAAGATGAGAAAATAATTTAAAATATAAAGAAAACCTTGAGATCCTTTTAGTGTTTGTCTTTATGAGGTTAACACACACTGGCTGGTATAGAGACTAAAAACAGAAAGGCTGCTTACCCAGCCTAATGCTTCTACTTATTTCCTTCCAGGCTAGGCAGTGGCCTGGACCCAGTGTGTGTGTGGCGGGGCAGTGGGGGAGGGGGGGAGACGTAGACTGCTGCCTGAGGGAGGGCCAAAGCACCCTACTCTGTTAGGTGCAGAAAAGAGCAGGCCCAGGGGCCAGGAACACAGGAGACCTAGAGGAAACACGGTATGGCTGCCAGACTGGAAAGGGGACAAGGCAGACACCTCTTCATCACCCCTGGACATGGCCAGCTTTACCTGAAATCTGAGGATCCCCTTCCTAGTGCCCCACAACCAGCCTGGGAGTGGGCAGACCCTTTCCCAGTGGGCCACTCAGAAAATGAAGATACTGAAGAATTCCAGGCTCCAGCAGAACACTGGAGAAACTCATAACAGGTTTTCCAAATGGCAGATTCACCAGTGTGAAGGATGAGCAGGCCCTCACGTCCTGACTGTGCACTGAACAACTCTGTCCACTGTGTGTAGGATCTTCAGCCCCAAGGAACCAGGCCCATGAGACTTAGGGGCCGTGACTGTTGTCTTGACACCTCCACAGGGCTGTTCGGGCCAGGCAGAACACAGAAGTATGGCCACAAAGGGGACAAACTAGGACTAGCGGAAGATACAGGGAGCATAGAGGCTGACTCAGCATAAGGAAGAACTTTCACCCTGACTTCTCTCATGGGAGGGGAGTGCCCCATTACAGCAAGTGAGCAGAGTCCTGAGGACCATCTGGCTGGAGTTCTGGAGAGCAGATTCATGCCAGGACTGGACTGCTGGTCTCTGAAGTCCCTCTTGGCTCTGGAATATGAAGTGACACCAGCTAACAGAGATGCTTGGGTTTACCTGAGAGCCAAGCTGGTCAATGCAGTGTTTGGGCTCAGGACTTTGGGGCTTGTGACATCATTCTACAGGCTCAGTCCATTGGCCTTGACACCTTTGGTCTTCTGGGTTGACCTGCCCATTCCCCAAGAGCTGGAGAGCCCTCAGGAGCTGTGTGCTCCTGCATATTTTGCAAATTGGATCAGGTGTAAGATTCTATACTGCGGAAAGGCGCCAGCAGGCAAAGACCTCCAACATGAATTCTTATTTGTAGAGGGAGTGGCTGCTACCTGACTCTACCTTCATGCACAAGTGCAGCACAAACAGGGGCTTTATTGGCAGGGCTTGGGAAGCTCTGATAGAGCCCAGCATGCAGACTATTAGGGCATGGACAGCAGCCAGGAAACGAGGGAGAAGGGACCCAGCCTCAGTGGGCTCAGCTGCTGGGGGCACACTTTCCCTTCTCAGTTCTTGGAGGCAAGTGTGCAAGAAGAGGGTTCAGCACTTCACAAACTGGTGGGTGACCTCGTAGATTCCCACAGACTCCTGAGCCTTTTCGTCATAGTCAGTCCAGTCCTGTGGAATAAAACAGCAGTGTCAGCCTCATGAGGCAGCCTAGGACAGTGTGGAGAGTGGAGAACTTGGGCTTAAAAGGCCCAGGTCAGGCTCTGACTCAGATATTCATGGACATGGATGACCCAGAACAGAGCCAGACTGCTCTGATTTTCAGCTCTTCCAGCTGTTTGATTTTGAGCAAGTCACTTCACTTCCCTGAGCCCCAGTTCTGTTCTCTATTAAAAAAGGGAAAACAGTAGACTTCATGCTGAATGTCCAAAGAAGCAGACGAGTAGCACATGTAAAAGTACTTAGCCTAGTGCCGGGCATATACAAGAGCTCAGGAAACGCCAGCTACTGTTAGTATTAGGTGCTACACAGACTGCAGGAAGTGTCTGTCCTTCCTGAGGCCTGACCACAAGGCTTCCTTATCTGCAAGGCAGTAACATGTCCAGTAACACCGCCGATTCTCATTATTCCTGGTAATTATATTCTACAAAGTCACCATGAACAATGAATTAGTGAACACTGCACCACTGCTCCCAGGGGAAATACCGGGTTAGGTTCCTGTGAGCCTCTGGTCACACTGTTTTCCACCAATCGATACATAACTAGTTTTATGTATGTTTCTGTTTTAAAACACTTTATTTAATATATATTGTTGATTCATTAACATTGAGCTCACAGCCAACAGCACTATCACTCCTGCCTGAACAAAGCTTATCCAACACTTATTTTCTCCATCAGGCACATCCTAGCCTTCTGGCGCGTGGAACACCAGACAGCACTTCAGCACCACACCCTGGGCCATCTTAAACAACAAACTCACCGACAAAAAGCACAAAAATGCAGAGTCAGCTTTCCACTGATGAGCCTTGTTCACTAAAAGGGTAATTCCCACCAGTTGCCCTACAGCACCCTGCAAGGCCCCCAAGTCCCGTACCTTCTCCTGCAGATTAATGTCACTGAAGACTGTCCCCGATTCCACACCCTCGGCAGCAAACCCGGCCTGCAGGTGACAGGGAGGCAGCAGTTAGTCTCGGGGGAGGCACCTGACTGGCATGTGAGGCCTTGCCAGGGATCTGGCTCTTTTCATACCACCTTTGGGATGGGAGGACAGAGACGCAGTGTGGGCAGCTGTCCTATAAGTTCCTCCAAATCAGAGCCTGGAACCAGAAGGCAGGAGGCGGGGGAAACCCTTCAACTACCTCTGATTTTCCGCAAGACCCTGGGCACATCCCTCCCTCTCTCGACCTCAGTTTTCTTATTTATGAAACAGGATGACAATACTATCTCTTCTGCCTACCTCACAGATTTGCTGTGAGGTGAAAATGCCGCAAAAACAAAGTGAGATGAGCACTGGCTCTGGAGTTAGACCTGGGTTCAAGTTACAGCTCTGTTGCTTACTAACTGTGTCACCCTAGGCAAGTGGCAAAATCTCTGAAGTTCTTTCCTCATCTGAAAAATAGGATGAATAACTTCACAGGGTTACTGTGAGGATTAAATGAGGTAACATGTGAAAGAGACAGGCATGGTACCCAACATATAGCAGGTGCTTAATAAATGACAGTTATTCCTCTTAGAAAGAATTCCTAGTTCTTGGTCTCTGTGGGAAGCAAAGTTCTGCTGTCACTTCCTGTATGCCCTCCCCAAAAACACAGGTTCCCCAGGAAGGCACACACACCTGGGGCTGGAAATCAACTGGTTCAAGGCCCCGGCACTCAAATTCTACTATCGTCTTGAACTTCTCATTGTCTTCAGCCTAGAAAGGAAGTGTGTTGAGGAGGTGAGCCCAACTGGGCTCTCAGGATGACCCCATGGCCCCTGCCCTTCCTGCCAAGAGGGCCCTTACTGCTCCTGTGAGCCCAGAATGGGACCCAGGAGCAACTCCTCCCCTCCTGGAAGAAGCCCGCCTTGGGCACCTGCTCCCCACGAGACCTTCTTAGACATGGATGCTGCAGAACAAAGAGTGAACTTTGGGGTCAGCCTGCCTAGACGTGAGGCTGGCTCTGCCCCTCTTCCCCTCTGGGCCTAAGACCGTCAAAAGGAGCTGAGGAAACCACCGCAAAGTTAGTGTGAGAATTTGAAATATTTGTAGAGTGCCCAGCATAGTACCCGACACTATGCTCAATAAACGGTGGATAAAATTATCAACGTCAAAAATATGAACAAGAGGGGCTGGCCTGGTGGTATAGTGGTTAAGTTCTCACGCTCCACTTCAGTGCCCTGGGGTTTGCAGGTTCGGATCCTGGTGCAGACCTACGCACCGCTCATTAAGCCACGCTGTGGTGGCATCCCACACATAAAATAGAGGAAGACTGGCACAGATATTAGCTCAGTGATAATCTTCCTCAACCAAAGAGAGGAAGACTGGCAACAGATGTTAGCTCAGGGCCAATCTTCTTCACCAAAAAAAAATATATGAACAAGAATACTAAGCTACAAAGTCTCCAGATCATCCAACCGGCCCCAATACAGTTAGCTGCAGCCTTTCGCTAACCATCTGCCATGCAGTGAAGGCAGGAGGCTGACTTAAAGCCTTTGAAATGGGATTTGCATGTGTAGGGGGCACCTCTGAGCGGGGCAGTGTAGCCAGGAAATTCATGCCTACCAGACCCATGGGCTCAGAGACCGCAAGCACCACACCCCACATTCATTGTCATTCTGTCCTTCACTGTAAAATCATTTCCTGCACACCAACCACATGCCTGGCACTGATGAGGCACTTCTCTGGAGGCCCTGGTTTATTTTTTGTTTGCTGGTCTGTCTCTTCCACTAGAGTATGGTTTACTTGAGGGCAAGTCCTCCTATGATTTCTCTCTTTAACTTCAAGGCAAAGACAAGAATTTAGCATAAATCAGATACCTAAGAAAAAATCCAAATAAAGAATGGATTGAATACAAGTAAATGCCCTCCTTTAAACCAAGAGACCCAAAGCACACCCCCCCTCACCTTTGGACTAATTTGTTACGCCGTAATAGATAACTACATAATAATATTGACAATATGGAGGATGGTATGCACCATTCAAAGAACTGTCCCCCCCATGGTTTCAGAGAAGGCTCACTAGTCCCCCAAGAGGCAAACAAGGCAAGTGCTCCCAGTGATGGAAAATGAGTGGCCAGGTTGGGTGAGAGGCCCCCAAGCTCCCAGCCCAGTGCTTGTAAGAAGGTTGCAATAGCCTGTTGATGAGTCTTTTCCCTAGCAAGCACTCAGTCAGTGGGTGGTGAATAAATGACCCATAGAGTGAACGAATGACTGATTGAGTGAGTGAATGAACAAATAAATACATGAATGAATGTCCCATGGCAGGTTACTCTGCGGCAGATATAACTAGATCCCAAACCTCCTAGCTCCCAGCTTAGATTTAATCCCACCGCACCTGCCACTACAGCAGGAAACTTACATCGTAAGATTTGATGGTGCTGCTCAAAATCTCTGAAACATAAAAGAGAAGACAAAGTTGACTTGAGTTCATACCCTGGTCCCACTAAGGTGCCCAGGTGTGGCTCTTGGAAACAAAGAGTCCGCTGCAGAAGCTTGGGCACCTCAGGCCTGGGTCCACCCACAGGTAACGTGAGCCTGCTTTCAGTCTGGTAGCAGGAAGCTAGGCGAGCCTGGCAGAGCTCAGTATTCACGGCCTGACCTACCAATGGAGTTTTCCCTCGAGCACAGCTTGCACTTCTGGACCATAGAGGCACTGCCACGGCCTCCCTTCAGTGCCACATTGTCCTGGCAAGGAGTAAACAGAACCCCTAGTCACATATCAGTTAAACGTAAGGGACCTGAGGAGACCCAGTTCCACCACTTATTATCCAGTTGAAGAGACAAGACCCAGAGAGGGTGAGTGACGTGCCAGGACAAGAATCCTGGGGAGGCTTCTTGAGACTGAGGAAAGGGATTCTCCTTGATTTTGAACTCTGTCTCATAACCCAAAGAAGCCTGTTGTTCCCAGTGTTGATCACACTAATGCCTGACTTCCCAAACCACAAAAAGCAGGGTCCAAAGACAGGAGAGATTAGGGCCACAGGTTCCCCAAATCCCTACCCAGAGGGGTGTGTGTATGGTGGTGGGGGGAGCAGTTACCATCAGCCGGATGTATTGCCACTTCTCTGAAATCTCACCACAGTTGCCACATTTCATCTTGGGGGGAAAAAAGAGTATTAGTAAAGTAACTGGCCACTGAGGGAAGGGTAAGGATGGTGGGAAGGGGTCAATTTCATCTCATCCTTACAACCAGCCCCACCAAAGACATAACCAGATTTATCTCTGGACAGAGAACAGGTCAATGTGTTTCTGGAGCTGGTGTACCCCTCTCCTCCAAGAAGTATCAGCCTGGCTTGGAATTCAAAGCTCAAGTGGTACAGAAATGGCCTCGACAGGTCCCCCCCACCCACTCCCCACCCACCCACTCCGCTGCGTTGGAGCTTCCCGTGTTGCCACAGGCCCTGTAGGTCCCTGGTAAAGGTACTTATCACTCTGTTGTTACACTATTTCTCTGTCTCTTTCTAGACTCCGTGCTTTTTGAAGCCAAAGAACATCAATTCCCCAAATTAGCCCTGGCACTCAGCCTTCAAAATATTTGTAAATAAAGGTGGTCAAAAGGCTTCCTGAAAGAGACAGGGCTTTTGCCAGGTACTGAAGGATGCTGGGATTTAGATCAGGAGGGAAACAGAGCAGAAGCTCTGGGATCTGGGAGAGTGAAGGGCCTCAAACTGCTCGGGTAAGAGGGGACTTCGGTAGACCATGCCACTAGGATACCAGATTTACCAGCATGGGTGGGGAAGTAAGGTGGAGCCAGGCACAAAATTCAACTACTTCACAATAAATAAAACCTAATCAACAAATAAAACTGAAGGTGAAATTATTCACCTTACCAGATAATCAGAAGATACCTTCAAGTAGCCTTTAGTTTAGTGTCTGTTTACAGACCATATTTAACCAGAGAAAAATTACAAAAGGAGTTCCAAGACGCTGCCAATTAAGGATTAACCAATAAATTTAAAAAGTAAACATAAAATTCTACCCAGAAAAAAAAAGAACATTTAATAACTATACATTTCTCATTTTGCCGGAGAAAGCTCCTGTTCAACCCTGCGACGAGGATGGGGAGCCTTTTCCCCGGCCCAGCCCCCTGGCGCCCCCACCCGGAACCTCGAAGCGCCTACAGCCTCTCGGACGCTCCATCCTTCTCCACTCTAGGACCCCGCCCCTCCAGCCACACCTTCAGGTACCACCGGAAGTCCTCGCCCACAGGCCGGAGGTGGGTGACGTTCTCAAGCGTGGCTTTGAGCTGCAGCGCGATTTTCTGCGAAAGAGGAAGGCCAGAGGGACTGCATCAGCCGCGCCTGCGCAGCCCCACGCCCAGCCTCAGCCCCTTGCCCCGCCCCTTCTGCACGAGCTCCGCCCCTAGCTCCTCCTCAGCGCGAGCCCACTCCCCTCATTCCCTCCTGGCGCGAGCCCCTGCCTCCCAGAACCTTGCCACCTCCCCGTCCCTGTCCCGGCGGCAGCTCGCCTCCGCCTCACCCCCATGGCGGCCCAACTCAGCTTGGCGCTGCCTGCGGCCGCTACTTTCCGGCCGGTCGTAAATGGCAACGTAAACCCGTGGTGTGGACCTCGCGCGTGCGCCGGGCGGGGCGCGGGGGCGGGATCTTTGCGCTCCGCTGCTTCCCCGGTAGGGGGAGGTTTTTCGTTAGGTGACGTGAAACCTGCGGAGGTAGCTGGAGTATGTAATTAGCTGGTGGTCCGACCCGCGAAAGCCTGCCTCCGGAAATCAGTAATTCCAGATATTCAGTGAACGTCGAGCTCGTGCCAGCGCTAAGCTAGTCTTAAGGGATGTCGCAGCAAACAAGACAGTCCCTGCCCGAAACCTCTGCCAGGCCTTCTTCCTGCCGCTCCCTTCTCTTTGCTGGTTCTTCACTACTCTGCGTTCCTCACCCAACCTCGCACTTGGTCCCTGCCTGCCCTCCTAGGCTTCTTAGATCACGTCAGTTCCTTCTGCCCAGGGCCAGCATGGAAGACTTGAGGGATGGGGCCTTTTCCTCCAAACTGCTCCTCCCTCTTTCCCCAAGGAGACCCGCTCTCTAGGCCCCTCTCCAGAGGGTGGTCTCCACGACTCTACACTCCCCTTCAGCTGGCTCTTCTCTGGGCTCCCATCTCGTTTTTCCTTACAGCATGCATTTAGTGAGCGTTTTTACCTGTCCTCTTGTCAAAGGCACATTTGAGACCTTACAGGAGTTGTGTTACAAGGAACAGCCGATTTGAGACTCCTTTATAGCCTTCTGATGTCATTTCTTTAAAATTTGGAGTGACTATTTTCGATGTCTACCACCAACTTTCCTCATTGCCCCACGTAACCTTCTGTAGCAGGGGGTGCACTGGAGTCAGGGACCCTGACACCTCAGACCCCAGCTCTGCACCTGACTTGCTGCACTGTAATCTTTGTGTGTGCACGTGTATGCGTGAGCAAGCACTGGCCTAGGAGTCAGAAGACTTGGGACTTGTCCCAATTTGGTCTGTCACGAGGGATGTGAGCTTAGCCTAATCACTTCCCCTTAGTCAAATAAGGCTTATCAAGGCCCAGTTCCTTTCAGCGCCCACAGTCTGTTCAACCAGCAATCTGCCTAAGGAAGCCATGCACTTTAGCAGCAAAAGTTCCTACTTGCTGAACAAATTCTTCACACTATCTGTACCAACTAGGTCTCAGTTCTTAATGGCTGGCTGTTGGTATTCTGATTTTAAAGTGGATTATTGGAAAACTTTTATGAGACCAGGCATTTTATCCCTTTAAACCAAAGTATTTCCCCATACTGAAATAGCTACAGGTGTATCTATAAAAGATGATTAAAAAAACCCCAACCTTAATTATATCTCAAAAAAGCTGGAGAAAAAAAACCCACAATACCATTTCACACCTAAAACATTAATAACACTTCATTAATATCACTTCCTTAGTGATGTCAATTTTACATCTTTTGAATCATGATCCAAATAGGGTCCAAACATTATATTGATTGTCTCTTAAATCTTTTATTCTGTAGGTTCCTGCTCTGTTTGTTTATGTTTGCAATTTATTTATTGAAGAAACCAGATCTTTTGCCCTAGTTTCTTCTGGATATTGCTGATTGGATTCTCACGGTAATTTTTTAATATGTTTCTCTATTATTTCCTGTAAATTGGTACCTATATCTACAGAGTTGATTAGATTTTTGGGGGCAATGCTTCACATAAGATGTTAGTGTTTTAAAAAGTAATTGAGAAGAGTTCACGTTTGGATCTTTATAAAATAACAAAAATTGCATTTTGTCATATATTTATTAAAGACAATCATTTATAGTTTATAAAAAAAATATTGCCCTATACACAAAAATTTCCTGATAATGGTAATTAAAAACAGCTATTCCCACCCCCTTGTGTCCACACCAATATTCAATCTAGATTGGCTTAATCTTGAAGTGTAATCCAATAAGACTGAAGACCAAACACTTCAGGTCCTGGACAAGATAATAAAATACTCGTAGGCCTTCTGGATCCCTAAAATGCAAGGGGAAAAAAATGTTTAAAAAGCTGAGAAAAACTGGCAAAAAAAATACCATTTCATAACCCAGATTATTTACATACCAACAAGCTCCTCATAAAAGCATTCACAGAATTAAAACTTTGAAAACAACCAAGTGTTCAGAAAGAAGGAAAAGGCTATATATTAAAATGGAATATTATGAGGTCAGTTAAAATGTTAAGGTTTTGTTTAATGGGGAAATGCTTATATCATATTAAATGAAAAAAATCATGATTAAAATAACAGATGGTTGATCTCAATTATATTTTTTGTGCTTTAAAAAAACTATATATTTTTTAATGCACAGAAAAAAGAAGGAAATACTTCAAGATATTAACAGTTGTCTAACTGATAAGTTTCTGGGCAATTTTTCCCTTTCTACTTTTCTACATTTCCTGTATTTTCTACAATGAGCATGTATTACTTTCAGAATTAGGAAAACTTTATTTTTAAAGTGATACTAAGCAGGACCAAGAGGCTGAAGATTTTTATGGCATAACTGGCTAAGAACATGGAGACTGTCCAAAGGAAGATAGTTATGTCCAACATGTACTGAAAGTGAGCCATATCTAATACCAAATCCTTCAAAGCACAAGAGCCAAAGTGGTTGCCAAATTCTAAGGACTCTTTGCAGCATACAGATCCATGCCTCAACTTTACAATTTGCCCTAATGAGAACATGAATTTAAAAATTTATATTCCAAATAATTTCAAGTTTCACCGAAGTCAGACTTTAAGATGTGCTAGTGTGGGCCAGCCCCCATGGCCTAGTGGTTAAGTTCGGTGTGCTCCGCTTCAGCAGCCTGGGTTCCGTTCCCAGGCATGGACCTACACTGCTCTGTTAGCAGTCATGCTGTGCTGGTGGCCCACATACTAAAAAACATAGGAAGATTGGCATGGATGTTAGCTCAGGGTGAATCTTCCTCAGCAAAAAAAAAAAAAAAAAAAAAAAAAAAAGTGCTAGTGTGAATGGCCAACACTGAGGAAGGTATTCAGACTCAGTGACTCGACAGTTTATCTCAAGCACTTGTTTTAGCATATTTGATTTTCTATGCTGGCCAGATTCTTACCCACTCTGGCTGCTCCTATGGCATTACTCTGTGTGTGTGTCATTGAGAAGCTCTTATTAGCAATGATGAATAAAACACCAAAAGCAATAGGAGCAAACCCTCACAAATAATTTGGAGTCTCTCATGAGGGGGACAAAGCAGACCCCTCTGTCTTGCATTTGCACCAGATTATATAATGGTCCCAATTTGGATAAGGGTTTCATATCAATCTACTCTAAAACAGACACAACTGGATATAAGAATCATGTACACTTACTTGGATTGATTGACATCAATAAGGGAACCAATTTTTGATGTTGTGAAAGAAATGTGTTCATCTCCAATGACAATTTCAAGCTCCTGAAGATATTTAAAAAACGAAGTCAAGCTGAATTAGATTTTTCATCAAGCCCACAGAAGGACTCATCATCTGCCAAATCACACAAACAACTACAGATAGCCACATACAAAAGGCAAGTTCACTCCAGCACTAGACTGTGCGGCCACTGGAAACAAAAGAATAAATCAAATACTGGTTTAGCCCTTCTGTAGCTCATACTCTTAAAGGAAACTGTGCCTGCAAGGCTCCACCATTTCACACACATATACAATACATGAGTTTTGTATATGAGTTTTCGTTGTTAACAATGTGGAGTAACATGGATAGATCTGTGTTTTACAAATACCAGGAATCTAACCTTTCTGGACAACATGAGACAAGGAGAAGCATTCCAGACCTTGGGTCTCAATTTCTAAACAGCAACACGAGTACCATAAACCTTTAAAAAATATCTATGGGGGATGCCTACTGTGTGTGTGTTCTCGGTGCCTGGGACAGAGCAGCAAAACCAAAGACAGACCTCTGCTCTTGTGGAACTTACAATCTAGTAAGCCCTACTTATTTTTCTTCTTTTTTTCCTATTTCTTTTTGATTTACAGTTTTTTAATTATGAAAAGAATTCAAACAGAAAATAGAAAAACTATGAGACTAATGTTCTCAACATTAAAATCAAATCTCAATCAGATTTTAAAAAGGTTAGTATTTTGTCATACTTGTGTCAGATTTTTTTCTTAAAGAAATAAAACATTACAAAGTTTAGATCCGCCTCCCATTCCATTCTCCTTCCTGCATCCCCAGAAGTTGGGGTATAGTCTTTCCATTTGTGATTTTAGATTTCGTAGTATGTTTTAAAAATTTACATAAATGAACACACTATACATATCTTTTTGCTTTTTTCATTCAAGATTGTTTTTGTATGTGGATCTAGTTCATTAGTTTTAAATGCTTTAGAATATGCCATTCACTCTCCTATTGAAGCAGACTTAAGTTCCCAATTTTTATTACTAGAAACAATGTGGCAAGAATATTCTTCTACGCATTTCCTTGTATGTATGTGAAAATGTCTCTAGGAAAACTCCTAGAAGTAGGGTAGAAGTATTTTCAACTCTCCCAGATACTACCAGATTGCTCCCTAAAGTAGTTTTATCAATTTTATTCCCACCAATATATACGAATCCCCTTTTTCTTTCTCATATCCTTTTTAAAACTTGGTGCCGTTTTTTTTTTTTTTCTTTGCCATTCTAATAGGTCTGAGATGGTATCTCATTGTTGTCCTAATTTTTATTTTCAAATTAAGCTGTAAATATTTTCATATATTTATTGGCCACTATTTTTCCAGGTCTATAAATTGCCTATTCATAACCTGTACACATTCTGCTACGTTTTCTTTTTAATTTGTAGGTCTTTATATATTCTGGATATAAACCCTTTGCTAGTTATACATTTTGCAAATTTCTTCCCGTCTGTGGCCTACCTATCAACTTTATCTTGATGTCCTTAGCCAAACAGAAATTTTAAATTTAAAAGAAGTTAAATTTACCAATCATTTCCTTTGAGGAGTTTAAAAAACTTCTTCTCTACCCAGAAATAATAAAACAATCTATATTTTCACCTATGTTTGAA